CTCTACGGAAACTATGTCTACGCAGCACACCGTGAGCAGATGCGGACCGTCCGCCACCGAGTCTGTAACCATATCAATCTCAACGTACCATGACGAGGGGGGATTAATCGGGCTAGAAATATACTCGAGCCCGAATTCGGTGCGTGACTGTAGGCGCAGAATGATTGAAGTCCTCTGCGATGTTATCCAGGAGCACCGATGAGAGCAGGTCATAGACGGGAAGCAGGTGGCTGGAAAATAAAGTCGACAGGGGAAAAAGTGCGTGTAATTGGCGTGCAAACAAAAGCTTCGAATCGGTCGCATGCGGCATGACTCGGGCCTGAATCGAACAGGCGCCTTCCGCTGGTTAAGCTCGAGCTTTAGAATGCAGGCGCAGCGGACGCGATACTTTTCGCCACCGAGTCTGGTTCTTGTCTTCCCCTTCCATCCGCTCTCTGCTCTTCCTATAGTTCAAACTTCCTTCTAACGAATAAGAAACATGATAACTCTGGCCCCTGTCTTCATCGTATGCGATCGACTTCGCCACGACCGAGTCGTTTTAATAGCTCCCGGTGCAAGTCAAAGAAGAATTATGCAGAATAATTTCTTAGATTTAGCAGGAAAGATGCTTGGCCACCGGGTACTTCCACGCGTGCGCTCTCTGAGTTCGAGTTACAGCAGTGGGATTCCGGAACTCAACGCTTTCAGAAACAGTTCCTTCCACCGGGAAATCATCTGCTGCGTTCTGGACGGTTTTCGTGCGGATGTCTTTTGAAATTGTTACACCCCCATACAGCTTATCCCCTTCTTTTCACCTCTGTCCTCGCTCTCAGTCCTCAACGTCAAATCGTCGGATTCAACCTTGGCAGGGTTCGAATGAATCTCCAGACGCCCGTACTCTCACCGTGCCCGGAATTCCCGATGCTTCCGAACAACGACTGCGAGCTGTGCCCGTTGTTCAACAGCAATTGATAAGGTATGGGTTTTCTAGAATGTCCGCAAAGTCTTCACTGTGCCACTGCGTGACAATCTACAGGCTACGGCCGTGGACCGCGCTCCTCGCCTCTCTTTAATTTTCGTAAACACGTCGACCATGTGCTTACTGCTCGTGTAAGGGGAAAAGCTTGTATATCCTGCGGCATTTGATGTAGGCCGGCAATTCACAAAGTCCGGTGATGTATTATCACTGACAAACATCCTGGCAATGCACATTGCGAGCTCTAGGACAGGGGGCATGTGGTAATTCGGGCTGATTGGGAATAGAGCGGGCGCACTGCGTGTATTATCCGAGTGGGAACTTGAAAAACGAACTACCCAGAGGCATGAGCGAGCTTTCGCAGATGGGCCCACATATTTATACCCTAAAAATGAATGGGACAGATTCCGGAAGGAATATTATTTTGGAGAGAGTTGAAAATCTAAAAACAACAACAAGGCTTACTATGACTCAGGTCCGAGCTGAACTGGTACTTTCTGCATACTCTATGCCACACTGATAACGTAGGCAGATGCTGAGCGCTGAACGTCCGCCACCGAGTCGGTATTTGACTGGGCTGTAACCTCCATAAGGAACGTCATAAATGAGTGTAATGGATAATGCAAGGTGGACTCACGGTGCAGTGGCGACACCAGCGGCATGCAGCCGTTCACACCAGCGAATGTGGAGGGGACCGATGGACCTAAACAATAATTGGGTGAGCGGTACAGACTCGCAACCTCGGAAAGGTAAAGAACGACTCGTACTGGTAATGATTCGGGCCCGCGTCAAACGGGCGTCTCCTGCTCGAGGTGTGAAAAAGATAGCAGGGGCGGACCATCTGCCACCGAGTCGTTATATGATCTGAATTTATTTTGAATAAAAAAGATCAGAAAGCTCATTCTGGCTGAGAGTAGAGGGGTGCGCGGGGTGGGAGGAGAGGCGCACAATATTCAACACCACGGACTTTCGAGAACATCGATGGACCTCAAGAGTAAGGCACCGAGTCGGTACATGACTATCCATGCAGACACCCAAGCAAACTGCAGTTAATAAAATCAGTGCTAAATTGCGGATCGTGGAATACCGATGAACACAAGCTATGCGTTGTGTACGAATACGCGGGCCAGATGACAAAAAGAAAAGAAAACTTGAACGCTGAGAGAAGGGAGCTAACAAAAGAAAAAAAATGCACTGGATCAAGTGGATCAAGACTCGGGCCCGAGTCGAACGAGCGACGTCTGCGTGTAAGTGGGAATCCGACGCCAACATAGCCAGCAGATGCAGACCGTCCGCCACCGAGTCGGTAGTTGGTTTGGAAGCACCCTGTATAACCAAGGTCAAATTTCACTTTACCAGGACATGAAATGTCTTGGAATGGGAGCCTGGCCAAAAACTAGGTGCAAAAAGACAATGCACGAGTCTCGATGAGCCGGGCCCGAGTCGAACGGGCGTCGTCTGTGTGCAAGAGGCAGCAAGGAAATAGCTTTCGTATGCAACAGATACGGACCATCCGCCACCGAAGCATTACAAGCATCTGTTCAGACCTGCATAACCAAGCAACCTGGAATGACAAAATCAGCGCAAAATCGTGCATCGTGGGTGAAATACTGACGAGCACCAGCGAGGCTTGGTATTCTGAGCCAAGGCACTGGAAACGCGTAACATGGGTTCGTAGAAGAAAGGGCGAAACATATTCTTGGAATAAATAGGGCGGTAAAAATATCAACATGAATAAAAATGTCTGAACTCCGTCTCATGACTCGGGCCCGAGTCGAACGGGCATCTTCTGCTGACTGCATCGCTATACTCGTAACGAAGGCAATGCGGACCCTCCGCCACCAAGTCGGTATTGAGTCTGAACGTACGATGAACTACGCAGGGAAATTAAGCCGGCTGAAAATAACACTGGAGCTGCCCGAATTCGGTGGAGGCGCAGAATGATTGAGGTTCCCTGAGATGGATGTTGTCCAGGCACGGAGAAAAAAGGTTCATAGGCGTGATAAAGCGGGCCAGACTCCGAGATTACTGAAACAGAAAGTGGGTGCACTGGAAGGGCGAGGGGAAAAAATTCTGGCCCAAACGAAATGATTCGGGCCTGAGTCGAACAGGCGCCTTCCGCTGTGACAAATGGATTCGTTGTACCAGGTGAAGCGGACGCGATACCCTTCGCCACCGAGTCGCGGCAGTAAGTCCCAGCGCAAGATGATGAGAAGGAAGAGGGGACCGGCAACCGGCACGCCAGCCCGGCACCGCCCCCAGCATTAGTCAGCAGTCGCGCCATGTCTTCCTCATCAATTCCTCATCCATCTCTGCCCTCAAGCGCATCGCGGCTCCGAGCCGTCAATTTCGCAGTCGAATCCCTGTGGATGCAGCAGCACCGACCATCGCTTCCTCGCGAACCCCAACCCCACTGTGTGACCTTTCCTGGGCTGCTCCCCTTCGCACCCCCGCCCTGCGCCGGTGATCACGGTCATGGTCACCGTGCGCGGGCCTTTATCATCCCTGCGCGTGGTTGCGGTGTCTGCGCTGCGCGTCTACGTCCTGTGCTCACCGCGCGTTCATTATCCCGCGTGCCGATGTCTGAATTCCCTTCCTCCGCATCGGCGCGGACGTCTGCGATCTCCTGACTGCGCCGCCGCTTTTGGCTCTGATTCCGCTGCACCGATGGGTGGCGTCTATTCCCTCTGCCGGCGTCCATGGTGTGTGGACGTTTACCGCGGGGTGGGCGCACGGGTTTGTGCTTTCGCCGCTGTTGGCAGTGGAGTAGGGCGTGCTGGAGACACGTCAATGTTTTCTGCGCGCGACTTCTACCCCGCAGATGGACCGTTCTCCCTATGGGCGGGTGGTTATTCTGCGGGCGTCCATCGCAGTGTGGGCGCGGCGCGCAAGGTCTCGTTGTGGCCCGGGAGTTAGGATGGCGAGTTCCATGGTCACACACGGGACTTTTTCGGGAATGATGCGCCGATGTGTTCTCAGGTGTTCTCGTGCAGCTGCGGGGCAGATTTTGATCTGCGATTTCGTTTTTATAGCTGCCCGCCGCTCATGCGTTCATCTCCCTCTTTTCTTTCTGCGTCTTTTATTTTCTACGGCGCCTTTCCTTCAGTGGTTCCCTTTGTTTTCTGCTGGTTTTTCTGTGCTGCCGCGTTCTCTTCATTTCCCCGTCCCCATCCCAGCTTACTTTCTCATCCTACGCTGCGTGTCACTTGTAGGCGTCCCAAGCCCGATAACCACGCGGCAGTGCTATGCTTCCGCTTGTACTGGGCGATGATTCCTCGCGCGCAGAGAGCATACTCATGCTGACACGAGCCCGAGATGCGTTGCGCGTGTACCTTCATTCGGTTCAAGATAACTTCCTTTTTGCTTAATGTAGGGCTTCCCTGCCTTGCGAGCGGCGAGCTCGAGGTAAACGCCGGGACAGAATGCACACAGACGGGCGCACGCTTCGAATGCAGGGCTCGCTAGCGGAAGTTGTGTCGTGGAGTGCCCTTGCTCGGGGAGCAGATATAGCGCTCGCAGAGGCCTCGTGCGTACGAGATATGCATGCGCCCGCAAAGCACAACAAGCCTGACTTGTGGTCTGCACCCCGTCTCCACACTGACTACGTTGAGTGCAAGCTGAGTTTGTCTTCCGAGAACTTCGTTCCTGGACTAGTACCCTCGAGTGCACTCGGGGAGTAGCCTCCTGTGCTAGAGATGAACGGGATCCATGTCGTGTTGTAGATATTTCTTGAAAAATTTATCTAACTTTTGTGAGTTCTGCCGATGCATCTGACTTTTTGCTTGTCCCAACATGGTCAACTTCAGCGACCAAGATTGATTTTCAAGTCGAAGTTGCGAATCCTTGAGGGATGCATACAGCTTCCACCGATTTAAGCCCCGCTTGTTACTCGTGCCCATCTGCCCTTTATTCGCCCAGGCGTGGATGCGGATGACAAAATAGAGTTGCCGTTGATTTCCGGCGGTGCATGAAGATAAATATTAATGCGAGTCGCGGACCACAAGCGTTGAGAAATCGAAAAAAAAAACGAAACTTGATTCTCAAATGACTCGGCCCCGAATCGAACGGGCGGCTCCTGCATGAGAAATCTCTCATTCACTGGCAAGATCGGACAGGCGCGGACCATCCGCCACCGAGTCGGTACTAGCACCTCTTCCGCCCTGAACAAATGTTGACAACCTCTCCTAGCGACGTGCAGCCGCGTGAAAAACGAACCGAAAATTATGGGACACAATTATTCTCTGCGAAACGACCCAGTTTTCTGTGCAGAGGGCGCTCGTTCGATTCTGGACTGAGTCATATCTCAGGGGAGGTGGCTTTTTTTTTCTCTCGAGTTTGATTTATTTCACCAATGTTTGTCACATACTAAGGGCTTCGCAGAAGTTGGTCTTGGGAAGAGTGCGAAATGATTCCCGAAAGAAAAAGGATCATTCGAGTGCAGATGAGTCCGGCACGGTTTAACGAGCGGCTTTGATGGAGACCATCCGCCACGCAGTCGGCATCAGGCTCGGAAGTCCTCCGCGTAAAAAAGATCAAGTAATAGTCAGTCTGGCGTAAGATGAGGAACACCTAACGATGAAGAGCGCCATGAGGACACCAACAGACCGGAAGCGATCCTGAACCCATATTATCGTTGAGTAAGGAGCGGCTACACCACAGAAGCTCACGAATTTAGTGAGAGCAATGATAACATATGTCGTCAAAACTAATATAAGCACGCGAAAACTCACGGTAAAAAATCGGGGTTGTAATATGAGTCGGGCCCGAGTCGAACGGGCACCCTTTACTGCATCCAGCACCAAGTCAGGAACAAATTGAAGACGCGGACCCTTCGCCACCGAGTCGGCACACGCTCTCCTAGCATGGATATCCAGATATACGAGCAAGCTGAAATTAGTCAAATCGAGTCGTCGAAAACACTTCATTCGACCTGGATATGTATTCCAGCAAGCTGGACTAGGCGAAGTCAATACATACTGCATCAGGCCTCACGGATGAAAGTACATACCAGCCCGGACGAGGAAACGTTCACGGCCAGATAATGAAACTACGCGAGTCGAATGGGAAAGAGCAGCACTGGAAGAACGATTACGAAAAATGAAGAGGAGTCAGCGATTAATAGTGACTCGGGCCCGAGTCGAACGCGCGCCTTCTGCATAAACCATGTCAATAACACACATACGGTGAAAAGGTGTGGACCGTCCGCCACCGAGTCGGTATTCAGTCCGAATGTACCATGACCAGGAGGGACGGGCCCGAATCGAACGGGCGACTTCTGCTGAAAGGTCAGGAGGATAAAAATGACCCGCAGACGCGAACCATCCGCCACAGAGTCGGTATTGACCGTGGACGTACCCTGCATAAGGGATCAGAAATATTCGCTCTCTCTGAATGAGTACCAAAGAAAACAATAGGGTGAGCACCGAAACGTTAAGCGCACCATGAAAGATGGCAAAATGACACGCTCACCTGCCGGCTGGAAGCCACCAAAATGATATCGGCCTGGCACAGAAGAGAGCGAAAAGAAAATTATCGACCGTGCGAATGACTCGGGCCCGAATCGAACGGGCGACTTACGCAGATATGAAGGTTGAGAGATCCTTCGCCACGGGGGCGGTGCAGTGGACATTCCCTGCAAGTCTTGATGCGAGTAACTGGATGTACACAGTCGCCTTATTCAGGGAACACACTAACCTTATCGCAGACGCCGTTAAACCGCACCCATAACCAGACCGCAAAAACGATATGCATTGGAGATAAAGAAAGACACTAACGATGTTGCACAACACTCGCATTGATGGACTTGCCGTTGCGGACTGTAAGAACGGCAAGGGAAATGATGACGAGGGTCGCAAAGTGAGTGATGGACATTCTGCAGCCGGGATGGGTGTTGCGAGTCTGCCTGTTAACGTTGCACTGGTCTAGTAGTTCAGTTATACGACCAGCAGTCAGGGTCCATGACTTTCCAACGTACTTCCCTGGTGCGGTGAGCTAGACCCGAGTCTGCAACGACGAGTAACCGACCGCGTAGGCGAACAGCGGGGGATCCTCTGAACGAAGCTCTGTCAGAAGGAAGTGCACTTGAAGGAGATGCACCCACTGACGTCGCCTCCACCCAAAGAGTGCTTCGCGATCGGCCCTAGTCCCAGCAAGAGACCAAGTCGCGCAGTTTGCAGAAATCGACATCATGGTGAGAAGAGTAAGGAGAGCAGTTGCAGAGCCGTCGCTACCGAATCGGTATTGATACCACCTCAGCCCTCGATAAATGCGTAAGCAGGAAATTCGAAATCAGGTTCGAACGTGATCTTCGAGGGAGAAAAGACGCCATCGACACGGCCACATGGTGTAAATGTGCGGGACCGAGGCCCAGAAGAACTGGAGAAATTATGAGTATGGAGGAGAGCGAATAATCCGAAAGAGAATGCTCGGACCTCATAATTCGGACCCGAATCGAACGAGCGGCTTCCTCTGAACCATAGAAGGTCACAAGTAAAGCGGATGCGAGGCCCTTCGCCGCCGAGTCGTTGCAGTAGCGTTTCGCTGTAATGAGAATACCATGAGTAAGTACTCGCGAATATATAAATGCAGACGCACAAGCCGCCCTGATATGTCAGTCCGCATACAACGAAAAGCCAAGGCGACGCAAGTAAAAAAACACGCGCCGTCGGGAAAGGATGCCGACTCCGTGGATCGCGGTGAGGGCAGTGGGGAGGCATCCGGGTACGTATGCCCAGTGGATCTCGGGGCAAGCACCGAGAGCATCTGTGGAATGGCGGTTCTCGATGTTAGTGATGGACTCGATAAACGCACCGTTAATTTCGAGGGTAACATCATCAGCAATCGATGGACGCGTATTTTCGCGCGAAGGCATCTTGTCCCTGCGCACGGCATTGGCGGGTGCGGCGGCGGTATTGGCCCGAGTTGTCATCCACAATTCTCGGAGTCACAACATGAGCCTGCTCACCGCAAAGAGGTCGAAATCCCACAGGATGCGGCAGGATGTCGTCCCCACCACCTTGGAACAAGAATGGCGTAGACGCATCGGGGAGGTCCGGGAGGTGCCGCAGGTTCAGGCCTATCTCTACGTGCATTCGAATCCCAGCTGTGTCAGCCAGGGGCTAGTCTTGAGAACCGGAGGTGGAAACGAGAGGAGAGAAGCAACAGCCACGTGAGCTGCGCGTCCATAGAGCCAAAGAGAGCCAAAGCCATGCAAATATCGTTGGCGTCAAAATAATTTCCAAAACATCCCGCACAAGGTGCTATGCTAACTATAAGTGCGAGAGATTGATTTGGAGTTCGATAGTAAGCAACGATTTGGTGAATCAAAATAAAAGAGAGCAGACCTAATCAAGATCAGTAACTCGGGCCCGAATCGAACGGGCGCCTGCCGCTGGACCTGTCTGTCAAACACGGACCATGCGTCACCGAGTCCATATCATGTAAAAATCCTCTTACTTGGATATACAATATAGCTGGAATGGACATTGAAAGCCAGTGATGCCCGATCACGCAAGATTATTATTATTCCTTCCATTCTAGTGCGCGTGGCAGGCACGCCTTAGGGTCACTTTGGCCCAGTGTAATTTTTACATGCTTGCCGAAGAATCGGCTTTGGTGCCGGTTCTAAATTGGTTCCGACAACGCACAATCCACATGTTCTGTCACTGTGCGTCTGTGTGGCCTAAGTGCGGCTCACCTCTTCTCCCTGAACCACGATGAAGGCTTTCCGCAGTCTATTCGTTAAATCTCACCGGGATACGAGCGCGACCAGGGAAAGCAGTCCTGCTAGATCAGTGGACTCACACCGCCATGGGTGGTGGGAACGGCTCAAAATCAAAAAGAAGGCGAGCCACACGAATACTGGTCCGCATACACGTGTCTCGCTGACCGGTCTGCCAGCGCAATGGCAGTGACGCAGAGTTTACCGGGGGTAACAGAGGAGCCAGCTGCGCCCGTCGTCGATAGCGAACCATCCAACAACCCAAATTCTATACTCAATTTCAATAATCTCATTCTTGCAGCCAACATTGTCGAGAAAATCGCCAAGGTGGTTAATAAGGTCCCCGTCATCGCTCCTGCCGCTGCGCTTCTGTCCGAGGTGTTGAAAACATGCAAGGTACGGCGAATATATGATATTGAGTCGTACCGTGTCAACCTTCGTTTGCAGGAAATCCAGGACATGGGTGAAAATCGAAACACACTGGACACCCTAATCAGAAAAATAACCAAGGACCTCAATGAAACGAAGGCGGGGCTAGAAGATGTACAGATTCCTGGGAGTCTCAAGAAAGACATTGAGGAATATGCTGGGTTGGTTTTTTGTTCGTCGTATCCTTGCAGACAAGCCTTACAATCAATCCAGACTTGTTGGCAAGGCTTCGGCACTGATTTCTGGCTTCGATGGGCAAAACAGGGCACTCAGGGCTGTAAACCAGAAGGAATAGGCAGGTCGGTGGACTGCTCTGGAGCGTGAACTGGATTCTTTTGCAAGCCGTTTCATTGTAAGCATGCTCCTCCAGATCTGTCCATTGCTATACATATTTCTCCATTAGATCAAGCGTGGTATCGAGACTCAGATTGGCCTGAGTGATGTCCAAATCTCAGCGTCAGTTAAATATCCTGCAAATTGCTTGGAAACTGAATTGATCCCAGCCTCGAAAAAAAACTTCGAGAATGGCTGAAATCTCCGCCTGACATGGCGGAGAAACAACATGCAACACAGAAACTCCATCACGAAGGCACTGGAAACTGGTTCTTGAATGGGGGCCAGTTCAGTGAATGGAAGAAAAATTCTGGATCTCTATGGATTGAAGGAAAATGTGAGCCACTCGAATGCCTTTCAGTCAAAAGTTTAATTAGAGGCACTAGCCGGCGCCGGTAAGAGTGTACTAAGGTGATGCCCATCACCAACATAATGGCTGAAATTCGCATCTGACATTCAGCAGCTCCTCAGTAATTGCACAGCTCTTCAACGTTCAGGCCACTGCCGGGATCTCCGCGGTTGCCTATTTCTACTTCGATTTTAGGAATGAACAGAACGAGCTCGTAGAAATTATGCTTCGGTCCATCATTTTACAGCTTTCCGGGCAATCTCCCATCCCGTACGCTGCGCTGGATCAGCAGTACAAGTCGTTGAGAG